CTTCTTCCACCTCATGAACATAACAAGTTAGAACCTAGAGCTCGATTATGCTGTTTTTTGGGTTATGGGATTACACAAAAAGGATATCGTTGTTGGGATCCTGTGTCACAAAAACTCCAAGTTTCACGTCATGGTGTCTTTTGGGAACACACTATGTTCTCATCATTGTCAAACTTCAAAGTGTCATCCTCTCATCAACCTCCATTTTTTACTAATCCTTCTATTGAGCTATTTCCTAGTGATTCTAATGCAGGTACATCTGATAAGCTCTACAATGCCTCACCACATGCTCCAACCAGTTCTGTAGAAGATGATCTGCCTGCTGGTAATGCATTAGATAATTTTGAGCCTTCTTCTACTTCCTCATCTACAAATAAGCTTGTTGTCCCATCCTCGAGTCATCCTACTTGGGTAAGAAAGCCTCCAAACTACCTTCGTGATTATCATTGTTTTCCTGCTATTACTTCGTTACATGAGCCTCAATCCTATCAAGAGGCATCTTCTAACCCTCTTTGGCAACAAGCTATGCAAGATGAATTACAAGCTCTTGAGAACACTCGTACATGGGATTTAGTTGATCTCACTGCTGAAAAATCTCTAATAGGCTATAAATGGGTGTACAAGATCAAAACGCGATCTGATGGTTCTGTGGAGCGTTATAAGGCACGCTTGGTTGCCAAGGATTTTACACAAGAGTATGGAATTGACTATGAAGAGACATTTGCTCTAGTTGCTCGTCTTACATCTGTGCGCAGTTTGCTTGCTATCGCTGCTATATGGAGATGGAAATTGTTTCAGATGGATGTGAAAAATGCTTTTCTTAATGGTGACCTAGAAGAAGAAGTTTATATGAAACCATCTCCTGGGCTCCACCGTCCTCCAAACAAGGTATGTCGATTGCGTCGTGCATTATACGGGTTGAAGCAATCCCTTCGAGATTGGTATGCAAAGTTTAGTGCTACTGTGAGTGAGTTTGGTTTTACTTCCAGTCCACATGATACAGCTTTGTTTATTTGTAAGACTGCTTGGGGTATGGTTCTTTTACTTCTTTATGTTGATGACATGATTATTACTGAAGATGATGTCGCATGTGTTGAGGAGTTAAAACAATCTCTCAGTCAGAAATTTGAGATGAAAGATGTTGGTGTTCTGAGCTACTTTTTGGGCTTGAAGTGACCTTTTCAGATGATGGCTACCTGCTTTCTCAAGTAAAGTATGCCTCCGATCTTGTTTCTAAAGCT